AAGAAGAAGAAGAAGAAGAAGGGGGGGGAGAGAAGGAGGACGAGGGAGAAGGAGAAGTTTCCTGACAGTGCGAACATTTAATCAGTGGAACAACTTGACTCCAGAAGTTGTGTATGCCCCAACACTGGAAGTTTTTAAGAAGATGTTGGATAACCATTTGATTGAAGTGTGAAAGGTTTCCTGCCTAAGCAGGGGATTGGATTAGAAGACCTCCGAGGTCTCTTCCAACTCTGTTATTATATATTAGACCAAATCAATAAATGAGATGGTTATTAAGAAAGAATAGTAGGATCATTCCTTTTACAAAGATAAATGTTTTGGGGGTATATATAGAATATAGAATTTTATAGAAGTTTATTTTACTTTTATTTCTGGAATCCAGACTATATCCGGCCCACACCACCACCCGAAAGTGGTTACCACCGCTACCAGTTCTTCCTCTACGAACAGCCAGCCCGTGAAGTTTTAGCCTTGAATTCAGATGAAATTGCATCTTCCGGTGAGCAAGCCCTTTGCCTCTGGTAGTTCGAATGTGTGGCTGTTGTTACATGAGTTGTAGGTGTCTTCTTTCTAAATGGTTCCTTTGACTCTGTTTCAGCACAGTTAGAATTCCCCATATATCTGTTTGTAGAAATGATGAAAATGCCCCAGCAGGGGGCATGGCTTTGCTTGAAGCAGGATGTATATTTACTTGACAGTGTGGGAAATATTTGTCTCTGCTGCTATTACCAAAGTAAATTCTCATGTCAACTCCGTAAAGGGGACCAAGTAATCATGTAGTTGGATAAGACTCAGAAACAAACGGCTCAAGGTGCTTTGTTTAGAATATATAAAGTATACTGATCCCCAGATAAGGTGAACCTATGCCAATAATAATTAAAGGGACGTGGTGGCTAAGACACTGAGCTTGTTGATCAGAAAGGTCGGCAGTTCAAAACCCTGTCGCCGCATAATGAAGTGAGCTCCCCTTATTCGTCGCAGCTTCTGCCAACTTAGCAGTTCGAAAGCATGTAAAAATGAAAGTAGAAAAATAGGGACCACCTTTGGTGGGAAGGTAACAGCGTTCTGTGCGCCTTCGGTGTTGAGTCATTTATTTATTTATTTATTTATTTATTTATTTATTTATTTTATTAAATATATTTATATGCCGCCCAATCCCGAAGGACTCCGACATGACCACGGAGGCGTCTTCAGACAGCGCTGGCTCTTGGGCTTTGAAACGGAGATGAGCACCGCCCCCTAGAGTCGGGAACGACTAGCACATATTTGCAAGGGCAACCTTTACCTTTACCTTTTATGCAGATAATGATGTTTTTAAATGGAGAATGGAGTTTAGAGCTGGGGTGGCAAAGCTTTAAAGGCCAATGGGCACTTGCTTTTGTTGTTACTACGGTTGTTCTTTGGGGGACACAATCAAAAGGTGACGGTATGAAATGAGTAAGGAAAGCCTGCGTTTCTATGGATGGCTTGCAAAGAAGGTGCAGAGATGCTAAGCTTCTTGGGTGTCCTAAGCCTAATTAAAGACTTGTCGAACATTTTTTTTTATTAAATACAGAAAGAGCAAAACTTTCAATGTCTATATAAACAGTGTGTTGTCTGAGTATAGTTATTTTGAGTAATAACCCACATCATAATAACAATAGCATTCATAACATTAGTAATCATCATTTAGTGACAATGATTTTCTCATCACAACATTAATAATAAACATATAGTGGCCATAGTGCTTACTTATCCATTTGGTAAACCATTTTTACAAAATTAGTCATTCTCTTGTATTTAAAAAAAATCTAACTCCTGTTTCTACTCATTAACCATTGATAAAATGAATCTCACATTAAGAAATATTCAGATTCTTCCTTGTCTTTAATTTTAAGTATTAATCTGTCCATTTCTGCACATTCTAATATTTTTGTGTTACATTCTCTTCTGTAGAGAAGATCGCTATGCTCTTCCAGTGTTGTGCAAATAATCTAGCCGCTGTTAACACATGTAGTATTAAATACATATCCCTTTGGTTATATTTTTCTGGTATGATACCCAATAGGATTATTTCCGGTTTGAAGTCTATGTGTTCCCTGACCATTTTTTCTATCCAAGTGTGTATTTTTGTCCAATTTGTTTTGTTTATTTTATTAATATGATGGGACAAGTCAGGAAATAACATTATCAAGGCTCAAAGGTTTGTTGCTATAGTTCAGCAGAAAAGTCAGTGGTGGGATTCAGCCAGTTCGCATCTATTCGGGAGAACCGGTTGTTAACTTTCTAAGCAGTTGGGATAACCGATTGTTGGAAAAAAATCTTCTTTTGTTTTTTTCCACTCTACAGGGCTAATCCTGTAAGGAAGGCAGGAAGAAAACATTCTGGTGTTGTTTCTAGCCTCATCTTTATTGCCCTGTTTACAGAAACTGTCTCTCCAGTTAACCTTTATTACATTGTAACAGCTAAGGTGAAGTGCCCATTGACCTGAGTGATGCTAAGTTGGCCACACCCACCCAGTCACATGACCACTGAGCCCTGCCTACCCAGCTAGTTGTAAGGGCAGAGAACTGATTGTTAAATTATTTGAATTCCACCACTGAGTAAAGTTATGGAGGGCTTGGGGACCTCCAAGAAAAAGCATCCAAAATGCATATGACGGCTGGCCAAATTTGTGAGTTGAAGTCCACATACATTGGTTGCCACATTTGAGAAAGAACTACCCTTAAAAAGCAGGCATGCTGGTACACACCTGTTTATGTTTTAATGTTTGAGTAAAGGAGGAAGATTGTTAGAAAAAATGAGTGGACCTGAGGGATATAGACATGGACATAAAATTCTTTATTGGCCAAGTGTGATTGGAAACACAAGGAATTTGTCTTTGGTGCAAATGCTCTCAGTGTACATAAAAAGACAACATACATTCATCACGAATCATAAGGTAGAATACTTAATGATAGTCGTAGGGTACAAATAAGCAATCAAATCATATTAGGAAACAATCAATATAAATTGTAAGGATACAAGCAACCAAGTTACAGTTATACAGTCATAAGTGGAAAGAGATGGGTGATAGGAACGATGGGAAGACTAATAATAATAGTAATGCAACCTCAGTGAATAGTTTGACAGTGTTGAGGGAATTATTTGTTTAGCAGAGTGATGGCGTTCTGTCCGTGTGTCTAGTTGTTCTGGTGTGCAGTGCCCTAAAGCGTTGTTTTGAGAGTAGACATTGAAACAATTTATGTCTCGGATGTGAAGGCTCTGCAAATATTTTCACAGCCCTCTTTTTGACTCCTGCATTAAGAAAGCATTTCACCAATGCAGCTGTCATCGGCGTCATCTTGAATCACACGCCTTTGGACTCCTGGGAAAGGAAGGAGGAAAGGCATCAGGAGGGATTGGCGGATGGTTGGGTTTGAGCAGCTGAGTTGAGGCTGGGAAGATCCAGGAACTGGGCAGGACTAGATTGAAGAGAGAAAGTGGGGGGAAAGCTTCTGAAATGATCAGGCCAGCAGATATGTGCTGGATAGATTCCTTTCCTCCAGCCTAGCCACTGCCCCAGTCAACCCCAGATGAGAGAGCAGAGAGAGAACAAAAGGTTCTTAAAGCTGGCACCAGAATTGACAATGATAAATTCAAGCAGACATGCTAAGCAGGATGTATACCGCATGCTTGGCAATACAGAATCAAGTTTTCCAGCCCTGCTGATTCTGCTGCGTTCAGAATCAAAGCCTCACCTGTGATTATTTGATGGAGTTTCCATGCTGTAGTAAGCCCTGCTTTCTTCCAGCCACATTGACTGCATTCAAAGTTCCTGTTCAACAAATCAAAACCTTTCCTAGTATGGTTTAACCGAGCCTCTGAGTATCAGTGGAGTCAATCACTGGGTTGTGTAGGAGAAAACTATTAGTAATCCAGCTGCGTGGCAAACCTATTTAGGGGTACACATATACTTTCCGTTGCAGGTTCCGTTCAGAATGGGTGGGAAAGAAACAGCCAACCAGAAAGACAGATTATGGTGGCAGATGTAAAGGTGAAGGAGATCGCAGATGCTGTGAAACTGAGAATAGTTCTTTGCTCGCGTATCCAAGAGCTTTAGGAGTTTCATTGGTGACACCTCAGAATTATTGTGTCAAGCAACAAGATAAAAATCATGAATAATAAAGATTTGGCAATTGAGTTGCACAAGCAGTCTTCAAACAGTGTTAAATAACAGCCCTGCTGAGACAGGCACGTTCTTAGCACGGAGGGACAACTAGTCTCCCAGAGGAAAATGCTGCTTTGAGAATTATTTGCACAAGTGGAATTTCAGGGCCGAGATGAATCGAGAGAGATTCAGGGATAAGAATGCCTCGCCCATGGCGGCATGACACTTCACAAGAAGCTCATACGAAATCAGTTTATTGAGTCAGAGAAACAACAGGGGCAAAACGTCCTGCTGGAAAAACCATAATTCACATTATGGTTGTGAAAAATAAACAAATGAGCAAGTTCTTTTTTTTAAAGTTTTTATTATTTTTTTTAAAAAAATGAACATTCCATCTTTCCTTAAACAGTGTGTCATCTGGGTACAAATACCTCTGTGCAATAACCATCAAAATGTACATCATCATTCACATTGATATTAATTCTCTAATCTTAGAATTATAGTATATTAAACAGCTGAATATAGTGAACCTATTCGTTTTTTCCTCTTAATGTATCTTCTAATGAAAATGTAATAATAACATTAAGCATAATAATCTTCATCATCATAATACTAACAATTATCATATTGTTTATATCTCTATCTTAACATATTTTCTACTCTTCTTTAATCTCCTCCTTTTATTTCCAGCTTCCATTTTTATTCTCTAACCATTGATAAAATAATTCCCATATCATATAATATTTCATTTGCTCTTAATTGCCAGCGTTAATCTGTTCATTTCTGCACATTCTAATATTGGCAGGCCTGAAATCCAAAAGGTAAAAGATGTCTTCCAGATCTTGGGGGTGTTACTTGGAATCCTGACAAATATTTTCCTAATCACCTTGTCATCAGTAGGGATCTCTTCATTTTTCAAATGTTGTGCAAATACAATTCTAGCTGAGATTAAAACATGAACAATTAAATAAGTGCTCTCTTTACTATAGGTTTCAGGTAAAATCCCAACACAAACAAGCAGGTTCTTGGAAAGGAGTGAGAGAACAGTGAAATTTCCCAAATGAATTTGCCCTTCTTTGCCTGTTTTGTAAACCAATGCTATATATTACAGCTGAAAAGCCCTCCAAATGATGAGGATGAGGAGGATGACACCATGCAAATTGGATTAGATTGTAAGGTTCCAGCAGTTTTCCCCGAGTCGATGAAATGCCAAAGAGAATGAGATTCAAGACAAGTCTTGCAAAAAGTATCAGCTTTTATTTGTGGCCATAGCAAAAGCTGGGTGACAAAATTATATCCAAAACAAACAAACAAATGCATTGTAAGGAATAGCGACACCTTGCAAGAAAGGCTCAGAGTATTATATAAGTTTTAGGCAGATAGAAACAAAAGTTTATCCAATCAGAGACAAAGAGTTGTTATCAATGTGATTTTTAAAGTGTTCTTTTGTTCAAGTTCCTGTCTCTGTCTACCTTATCTGTGGAGTATTCCTATAGCATTGTGTAGGGGGTGACTGCCCCCACCCTTTGCCAAGTTGTTTTTGGGCAGAATGCTTTAAGGATTTATGAGCCAACTACTCCCTAGTTTGGTTCCTTTGTCTATGCAGCCCGTGTAACAGTTTATTCTATGTTTTCAAGAATGTCCCTAGCTTTGAAGCCAAGAATATAAGCGAGACGTAGCAGCGAGATAACATTTGCAATCCAGTATTAAGGTTCCAATTTGTTAGGCTAGAAAACAACTAATTTCTGACAATATACAATAATATAAGCAGAAGCAAATATAGATAGATTCATATTGATTCATAGATTCAAGATTATGATGAGAGCAGCTTTCTAGGATCTGCTGGGGGTAAATAGAATACAGTCAGGAATCTGCAGCTCTGTTATCAACTATGGGGTGCACAAAAGACATATCCTCAAAGAGGCCATTACATTTGGGCCTCAGTAAGTGACCTATTTGACTGACTACTCTGTAGCATACACTGTAGTGTAGAATAGGAGGAGAGAATTGCTTCGTTGTTCTTGGGGTGTGCATGTATAAACAGATGAACATGAAAGAGAAGATTTCCCGCACTTTGAAAACCTCTCTTTGGTACCAGGCCCGGGGTTGGTGTTTTTATTATTTGTCTAGGGCCCCTGATTCATTTTGTTTGATTTTATAAGAATACTTGTATAACATTACTTTAGTATGGGCTGACTGATTTGATGCTTTTCCCTATATTTATGTTTTTGCTAGTTTTGCATGCTGCCAAGAGTCCATTTAGTTGAGCAACTAAATTCAGAAAAAGATAGACAGACAGACAGATACATATATACAAAAGATAGATATGCTGGGCTACACAAACAAAAATGATGCCAAACATCAAAGCAAAATATTAAGCTATCAATAGAAAATTTGCAAAAGGGCGCATTGATAGAGAAAGGGGAGGAGGGTGCATCACAGGAAATATTTGTGAGACTCACACAATCACATTCCACGCATTGTTCTGGGGGTAAAATCAAAACAAAATTTCAGTTGCCTGATTTATTTATTTTTTTTATTTTTATTTTTTTTGTTTATAAAATATTTTAT